TCTCACCCCCCATTATCTATCTATCTATCTATCTATCTATCTATCTATCTATCTATCTATCTATCTATATCGGTCTGTTCATTATCTATCTATCTATCTATCTATCTATCTATCTATCTATCTATCTATCTATCAATTTCGGTCTCTTCATTATCTATCTATCTATCTATCTATCTATCTATCTATCTATCTATCTATTTCGGTCTGTTCATTATCTATCTATCTATCTATCTATCTATCTATCTATCTATTTCGGTCTGTTCATTATCTATCTATCTATCTATCTATCTATCTATCTATCTATCTATCTATCTATCTATCAATTTCGGTCTGTTCAGTATCTATCTATCTATCTATCTATCTGGCATTGGTTCTTTCATTCTGTTCTACTTCATTTCCGTTTCGCATTCTTAAAGAAAAGAATTTTTTTTCCGATTGTGATTTTCAGGATCTTAATGACTTGTCATATATTTTGCCGACTCGAATTATAATGCGAGGTTTTTATCTACTGTTGAAAATAAAAACAAAAGTAAAAAGAGTCCAGGGGTCTAGCCTGTGAGAAAAACGATAAAAAAACAAAAACAAAAAAAAACAAAAAAATCAGAAAAAACAAAAACAAAAAACCGAAAGGGTTTTTAAATATATTAACCTTTATAGTTTAAGTTTCAGTGAGCCTTACTCCGGCCACGCCCAATGTTTCTGCTACCGGTGCTATATTTTATTGAATAGATAATAGAAAGTATCGAAAATCGATAAAAGAGACAAAAAAAAAAAAAAAAAAGGAAGTAGCCCTCAACTGAAATATATTACTCTATAATACAGAGTTCATTAAAATATCATATTACCATTTTGGAAATATAAAATTGCGAAAAATAAAATAGGAAAAAATTTAGGTTTGGTTTGTTTTGTTTACAGCATATCAACCTCAATGGGTTATTTAAAGCTGACAAAATTTTTATTGCTGGTAATATTTTTTCTTCAAAAATGTATTGCCGGTAATATTTTTTCCTTCAAAAATGTATGGCTGGTAATATTTTTTCTTTCAAAAATGTATTGCCGGTAATATTTTTTCCTTCAAAAATGTATGGCTGGTAATATTTTTTCCTTAAAAAATGTATGGCTGGTAATATTTTTTCTTCAAAAATGTATTGCTAGTAATATTTTTTCTTTCAAAAATGTATTGCCGGTAATATTTTTTCCTACAAAAATGTATTGCTGGTAATATTTTTTCCTTCAAAATGTATTGCCTGGTAATATTTTTCGTACAAAATGTATTGCCGGTAATATTTTTCCTACAAAAATGTATTGCCGGTAATATTTTTTCCTACAAAAATGTATTGCCGGTAATATTTTTTCCTTCAAAAATGTATTGCCGGTAATATTTTTTCCTACAAAAATGTATTGCCGGTAATATTTTTTCCTACAAAAATGTATTGCTGGTAATATTTTTTCGTACAAAAATGTATTGCCGGTAATATTTTTTCCTACAAAAATGTATTGCTGGTAATATTTTTTCTTTCAAAAATGTATTGCTAGTTATGAGTACTGCTGGTAATAATTCTTTCTTCAAAAATTTATTGCTGACATTAAAGCATATTTTTACACTTTCATAGTGTTTTGTCCCCAATTTGGGGGTTAAGTATTTGCCCATAGATGGGACCCTAACAGGTGCTACCACCCCGGGTCCATGTGGACCTTGGAATACCAGAAACTAAGAGGTGGTTCCACGCTCCTCAAGACCTCCTGACCAGAGAGGCCTTGCTGGACGTAGTTTATCGTCTTACCCAAGACGAGGATGTAGTTTATCGTATTATCTAGGACGCCTCGTCTGGGTAGGGGTGGTGGTTTCTGACCCTTTTGCGGAGATGAAGTCGGCGTATTCTTTAGCCCCAGCCCACAGAGCGAACAATTTTAGGTCTGGTCTGATTATGGCTAAAAATCTGCTATAGTTATCTTACCTCTTGGTATATAAGGGCCCTCTTTTTTGATGGCATATACGATTATGATAGAATATAAGTCTCCTTTCTGGTTGAATATAAAATCCAAATTTAGTAACACACAAAAACCCTCCTTTCATATAGCATATAAGATGTAGCTTTGAATAAAAATTACTAAATATCTCACAGGTTTTATACGCAAGGCTGATGGTGATAGTATTAGTAATATTTGTTGAAAAAGCATTTGATATTCCTTGACCGAATGTCCCTTGGACTCAAGATCCCTCAAGATCACGATTTCTGGTCGATCTGGTTATGACGATAAGGTACATCCGGCAGCAATGCATCTGATCTGGAGGTTTTGAGGAGCGTGGAACCAATCCTTAATTGCTGTTGTTCCCAGGTTCAACCTGACACAGGGTGATAGCATCTGTTCGGGTCCCAGCTATGGGTAAATACTGAACCCCCAAATTGGGATAAAAATATTGTGAAAATATAAAAATACATTTTTATAGTAAGAATACCAGCAATATATTTTCATAGTAAAAAAGAAAAAAAATAGCAGCCACATATTATTTGAAAAAGAAGAGAAAAAAATACCAGTAATAAATTCTTGGAAAAAAATGACCAAAGCTCCTCCCAACATTAAATTTCGACATAAAATGACACATAAAGTGTTGATAATCCTCTAATCAAACCAAACCAAGCCAAACTTCAGTTGATAGTTATGAAATCTCAAGAAATCTGTCTATTAAAAAAGAATTGTCAGGTCACGAGAATAGGTTTCTCAAGTGCATTAAATGTTATCGTTCTTTCTTGCCACTAAAACCCAAGGTGCTATTAGGAATGAAAGAGAATGAGAAGATTCTAGTAATTAGAGAGGACAATAAAAATCAGGTTTCAGAAAGCTAGAAGATGGCGATAATGCCACTAAGACGCAAGGGGTTACTCGGAATGAAAGAGAATGATAAGATTTTAGAAAGGAGAAAGGAGAATAAAAGAACCGGTGTCAGGAAACCAGAAGATGGCGATACCGCCACTAAAACTCAAGCGGTTACTGGGAGTGAAAGAGAATTAGAAGACTTTAGTGAGGAGAAAGGACAATAAAAGAACAGGTTTCAAGAAGACAGAAATGGTGATAATACCACTATGACACAAGGAGTTACTGGGATTGAAAGAGAATGAGAAGACTTTGGTGAGGAGAGAGGACGATAAAATAACATGATTCAGGAAGACAGAAGCTGGCGATGGGCGTTGCATTTACATTTTTGAATATCGTAAATGGTACGGAAGCAAGAAGTCAATTACTCAGACGAGAAGTGCGAGAAAAGGAGCTATTAGAATAGAACTTGCGGTTACATCAATATAATTCAGTAGTATAACGATGAGACCTAATTGCCAATATAGTAGTGCGGATTACATTTAATCTTTTCTTTGAAGTGAGAGGAACGTCACCATCTTGATTATGTCATTAATCTTTCTTCGAGTAATCTGTGCTATCCATTTTAATTGTTGCTGCTTTTGATAGTCCTCAAGTAGTATTGTTTATATTATCCGGTACAGTTCTTTGAAGTTTTAGAGCGGCAGGTTTAGGATTATTGTTTGCCCAAACCATGGATTGAACTCCCAATTAATACATCATCATTTTGACAAACCAATTCTTTAACCCACTCAGCTGTTGCCCCATGGAAAAAAACCCATAGTGGAATATCTGAGTTCTTAAATCTGTCTGCAGATGACTCTTGCTACTATTGCAGTTTGTCATGTTTGATTACATTCAACAAAGCTGCTGCTGTTATTAGGAGCCTTGCTATAATTCCTATTTCTTTCTTTATTAATCGCTAACATATGGCATTTTTCCTATGCAAGGCCTACTAAGGAGCTCCTCATAGCATAGCATATACATTATTTGAGACAAGAACTATATGACTGAAGGAACTAGATGAGATATCACTTCACATAGTCAGTGGAAGAAGGATCCCTTCATAGATTAAATAAAGTGTTCAGTCCGAAATTCCCTAAAGGTTAGGCATTTTCACAAGCAATTGATGAAGACTGACAGGCACAATTGTGATAATAACAACAAGAATAAGGACAATATTTCAAATGTAAATAAATCCAAAGACGGATATGCAATATGGTTGGCCCTGATCTGGTATCACGTTTACAGTCGTTCTCTCACAGACGTGCCGTCCCCTCCCTCTGTCTTTTCTACAAATACTTTCACCGTAACAGTTCCGACGAGCTATTTTCGCTAGTTCCCAAACTGCATGAATATAAACGTGCCACTAGGCCAGCATCTCAGTCCCATCCTTTCACTGTCGAAACGGTTAAATGTAATCGTCTCTTCTTACTCTAATAGCTTCATGTCTCGCACTTCCCGTCTGTGGAACTCCCTTCCTCTTAGTTGCTTCCCTGATCGCTATAATCTCCAACTATTCAAATGCAGTGTCAATCGACATCTCCAGATGCCTTGATCCAATTCCCTGTCCTTCTCTTTATTCTTTTCCTGTATTAAGCATCCTTACTCTTGCTCCCACCCTCTGTAACCCCTTGTGTGCTAGTGGCACACCCGCCTTGCTTAGGGTGAAAAGTAAAAAAAAAAAGGTTTGAAAAAGGATGGTTCTCGTTAAGACCTGTATTTTTCAGTCACTTAAACCCATTCTAACCAACGAACTGAAAACGCAGACGTATACAACTGACACATTGGTATTGATTTCTGAACAGGTTTGATATTGATTTCTGAACAGGTTTGGTATTGATTTCTGAACAGGTTTGGTATTGATTTCTGAAGTGAATGAAGCTTACTTACCATCTTTTGATTCAAAGTCGGCGAACTGGTATCTAGGACAGATCAAAGTTCTCTTGCAGAAGATCGTCGAGAATAATGGACTTTATTTTGAAGACTAAATGTTGGCATTGCTCTATACAATTTTGTTGTTTTCTTTGCGCTTCCTAAGTGAGTCAGGACTTTCTGGCCAAACTACTACTTACTTACTAACTATCTATCTATCTATCTATCTATCTATCTATCTATCTATCTATCTATCTATCTATCTGGGTACGTAGCTAAGTGGTTAGAACGTTCGCATAGTGAGCATGAGGCCCAGGTTCGAATCTCACCATAGTCGATTTGTGAGGAAGAAGACTTCCTGGTGTTATCGGACTGTGTGCAGAACCTTTGGAAAGTGCCTAAAAACAATATCACGGGTTGAATCAAGCCTTGTGAGTGAAATTGGGTAGACGGAACTCTTGGGGCCGTCGATAGCTGTGCTAGGACGAAGTCACAAGTCATCGTTGCCGAGGGCTTGTGTGTGCCGGCCTTGTTAAAAAAAGTAACTGTAACTAAGGACTGCTCAGCATGGCTGCATTATAAACCACAGGTGGGCACCGTGGGTATGAATAAACACAAATGCATCTGAGCAAGTGTCTACAATAGGGAGTGGAGAGCTAGCCTAGTAGATGGGTATCCTCAAATACCAGTGGTCAGCTATACATCTATCTATCTATCTATCTATCTATCTATCTATCTATCTATATCAGTCTGTTACCTTCCTTCTTTCTTTCTTTCTTTCTTTCTATATATCTGAATCTTTTTCTATCTATCTATCTATCTATCTATCTATCTATCTATCTATCTTCTACAAAGAAGAAAACAGAGATAGATAGATATATCTATCTCTGTTTCCTTCTTTCTTTCATTATATCTGAATCTATTTCTTTCTTTCTATCTATCTATCTATCTATCTATCTATCTATCTATCTATCTCAGTCTGTTTCCTTCCTTCCTTCTTTCTTTCTTTCTTTCTTTCTATATATCTGAATCTATTTCTATCTATCTATCTATCTATCTATCTATCTATCTATCTATCTATCTATCAGTTTTTTCATAACTATCTGTCTATCCCATCCTGTTCATATCTATCTATCTATCTATCTATCTATCTATCTATCTCAGTCTGTTTCCTTCTTTCTTTCTTTATATCTGAATCTTTTTCTAGCTACCTACCTACATACCTAATTATCTATCTATCTATCTATCTATCTATCTATCTATCTATCAGATTTTACAAGCACAATAATATATTTGCTGCCGTTCTAGATGGAAAATTTGATCGCGACAATCACTATTCTGGTATATTAACAAAATGAAACGATTATCCAAGCGAATGATTGCTTTGGGTAATCGACTTACATAAAGTAAATAAATTGCGCATTGATCAAAATGAATAGAACAAAAAGTTCACCTTTTTATCGATTATAGCCTTCAGATGGAATTTCCAAACATTGCCGTCTTTATTGAATGTATTTTGTATTTACGATCCAGAGAAAACAAAATATTTCAATATATTTGCGAACGCTAGAAATCGAACAAAAAAAATTGAAATGATATCAATCAAATGAAGTTATCATTTTAATAAATTAACATTAATAAATTTATATATATATATATATATATATATATATATATACAATATTTACTTAAAGAAGAAACATACATAGAAAACACATTCAAAAACCAACCATACCCATAACATTTCATCCACAACGCAAGAAGAAAGGCATACAAAATGTACAAACGAAACAAAACTAATAACATAATCAGCAAAAATAAATCACATGAAAACAGATACATAATACTACCGACCAATTCTGTCACGTCCACTATCCAGAATAACCTTTTCCCATCTAAATAATCTTGAAATAGTCACAAACAGTTCTAAAACCATTATGGATATACTAAGATCTTCAAACATTAATAGCAATAATATTTCTGAAGCAGGCATTTATAAAATAAATTGCCAAAACTGTTCCTCCCAATATGTTGGAGAAACAAGTAGAAATTAAAAAAAAAACAAACGCATTTATGAGCACAAAAGAGACCTCACAAAAAACAACTTAGCTAATACACTAGTCATACATAGAAATAAATTCAACCATAATTTTGATTTTAAAATTGCTACACTCATAGGAAAGAAAATAACTCACTCAGAAGGAAAATTCTAGAGAGTGCTGCCATAGAATATTACCCAAATATTAATCTACGTCTAGGCTTTTTCCCTATTTCATCTTCCTTAACAAAATTACTACTCTACCAAACAAACGTACACAACAATATCGTAAAATCAAAAGAAAATGGTTGAATCCGTCAAAACAGCTATAATGACAATATTCTCAACACGTAACAGTAACTGATGTTATTTTCAGCTAATAATATGAAAATTGCGCTCTCTACATTCTTCCAGTTGCTAAGAACAGTCTGATTTTTGTTGTTATTAGTTACCTTCTTTAATTAAATTCATTTCGTTTTTTTGCTTTGAGAAACTGCACATTGGACGAAACGCGTCAGCAACTACTACAGTTTTCCTATTGTCATATATATATATATATATATATATATATATACACACACACACACACACACACACACACATATATATATATATATATATATATGTACTCGATTCTCCCTTCGAATTCGACGTATGAGGGTCAAGCAGATCAGTTCCCAGGAAACCGACAACAGCACATGAGATTTGATTATAATGGTGATGGTTCTGTGCAGAACCAACCACACTGTTTGAAGGGCCGAATACGAAGACCTAGTGCACTACGTACCATAGGGTCCCCAAATAACCATTCGCGGGTTTTTAATTCAGAGTTTTCCTTCTCCTAGACCAGTTGTCATCCAAGGCTATAGAACCCAGTCTGTCCTGCTATTTACCCATAGCTGGAGGGAGAAGAAGAGGATTCACAACATTCCCAAGGGTATTATCACGTAAGTGAATGTAATGGATTCGACTGGAATTCCAACTCGGCTCTCCGATTCATATATATATATATATATATATATATATATATATATATATATATATTTTAGGAGGCACGGTGGAGTAATGGATATATATATATATATATATATATATATATATATATATATATATATATTTATTTCATTAAATAAATATCCTCTCCGTCCTATCTTATCGCAAATTCCAACTCCTGTATATCATCTAACAAAATACATTAATCAACTCATTACAATCTACCTCCCTAGTAAATATAGCGTTAAGTCAACATTAGAAGTAATCCAAATCTTAAAAAGTGAAAAACCCGTCAATGAAATCATAGCTTCACTTGATGTTGAAAACTTATTTACCAATGTCCCTGTTAGTGAAACTATCGACATAATTATAAGAAATATATACAGTAACTCATCTTTACTCCCACTTAAAATTAATCCTAATATATTACGGAAACTACTATTAGCTTGTACTACTGAAGTCCCTTTCTTCGATCATAATAATAATATATATATACAACGTGATGGTGTCTCCATGGGTTCAGTACTGGGTCCGATATTTAGCAATTTCTACATGTCGTACCTCGAAAATAAGATATATACAGATTTTAAAAACCATCCATCTACCTAAGATACGTTGAAGATATTATGTTAGTTAAAAATACAGATGAAATACTTCAACTTCAAAAACGTTTCCAAAATAATTCTCTCCTTAAATTCACATATGAACTCAATATTAATAATAAAATTCCCTTCCTTGACATATTGATAAATACAAATAATAAGAAATTTACTATTTCGCCAAACAAAAAACCTACCAGCATAAATTCATGTACACTTAACTACAAGAGCGAATGCCCATATTACTACAAAATAGCAATTATAAAGAATCTAATACATCGTGCAGAAACTAATTCATCCACAAAACAGATTTTTTACAAAGAACTAAAGAATATAAAACAAACACTTATTAATAATAGCTTTCCAAAGGGTATTAGCACGTAAGTGAATGTAATGGATTTGACTGGAAAACGCCGTAATTAATATGGACAAGTCCCCTATTAGTATAGACTGTTATATAATTCATTAAATGCTTAGGAAATATAAAACAGGAAATGGGCAGGTTAAATTCGTCATCGTCGTAGAAAGTCAAGATACCAATAATTCTTAGGTCTTCATCATTCATACTAAAAACATATAAAACTAATAGATTAGTCATACAACAAAATGCCTCATTGTAAATATGGCAATATCATCAAATAAACTATATCTGTTAAAGAACAAAATAGAAATAATATAATGGTCTTTAATCAGAGAATGTAACCTAACCTTTGTCATATTTTGTTCGAATAATTGTTGCTCTAGATATATATCTAACACTTATTGACTTATATTCTGTTTAGCTTGACATACGTTAAATTATATAATTTAATGCATATCAGTAGGTGTGTTTATATTTTCATATATATATATATATATATATATATATATATATATATATATATGTGTGTGTGTATGTGTGTGTGTGTGTGTGGTATAAATATTTAACAAATATTTAAACACAAAAACTTACTCATTATTCAATCATAAATTGAAACATATCCATTCGTAAAAATAGTTTCAAATGTGAAGTTTTGCAAATGGCTTCCTAAAATTCTTTCGTTTCCTTGTTTACAGTTTAATTAAATATGGCGGCTCTAACAAAATATTATCAATATGTCACATTGAAAATTGATCGTATGAAGAATTTTGAGGTGATAAAACTGTTGAATGTTTGCAGAAAAAACTTTTTAATGCAAGAAAATAATTTTGAAGAGGAACAAAGAACATCTCGAAATTCAATTGCAGGAGCAAAGCGTTATGTTCGCCAAAGGCGAATCATTGAATCCATCAAGAAGTGGTTGAAAGAAAATCTTCAGAGTATCACAAGGATGGCTATAAAATAGCGAGGTATTTCTGATAGGCGCTAAGGAGGATTGTGAAAGAGGATATAGGACTAAAACCATATAAGATTAAAAAATGGCAAAAACTGTTGGATATTTAGGAGAGGATATTAGAAAGAGATTGATCGACAATAGTTGCTCTCAAAAGGCTCCAAGCAAGAACATCTTGGCAGATGGAAGAAAATATCGGAGATATTGCACCGTGTCGCAGACAAACTCATCATTTATCGGATTAGGAATTTTTCACGGTGGGGATGTGGTCAACTATCAAAACAAGATGGTTTACATCACTTCCCCAGTAAACATTTTCAGTAGGA